AGGCGAAGCAGAGCTGCATCTAATGAGGCTCTCTTAATATGCTGTCCACTACTCCTTCTACCATATGGGATTATGTCCCTTACATATTTACTATGGGACAAGCATGTGAATAAGACTTCCATATCTAAATTAATTGTTTTTTGGCATTCTAATTTAAGTAATGTAATACATTTCCACATTTTCTTTCTACTTTCCAGAGGCAGGGTTCATTATTTTCCCCATACAGTACTGGTTATCTGTTTGTACAGCTATTCATTTGTGCCCATATTTATAGCCCTACCAAAAGACTGATTGGTATTCGTGTGAAAGAAAAGAACTAAATAAAACTGAAATAACTGGCCCTGAAGAGCAGAATGCAGGAATAACATTATATTGTGGACATAGTCTTTGTTGTAGCTATTTGCACATGTTTCATTGCTCTGTGGTCATATAAATGTGCAACTGTATTGATGTATAACAAGTGGGAGCTTCTTCTCTACTCATGCTAACTGGGAGAGCTGGCATGCTCCAGTTCCCATCTATTGGACAGTATCAACTTGTGGAAGTTAGAACTTTTGCCTTCTCTACTGCTGTACCTATGAAACAGCATCACCCAGAGATTCTATTGATGTTTTGTAAAACAAAGCAGTTCAGTAGTTCAAATCTCTAGTGCCGCGTAACGGGGTGAGCTCCCATTACTTGTCCCAGCTTCTGCCAACCTAGCAGTTCGAAAGCACGTAAAAAATGCAAGTAGAAAAATAGGGACCACCTTTGGTGGGAAGGTAGCAGCTGTCCGTGCGCCTTTGCTGTTTAGTCATGCCGGCCACATGACCACGGAGATGTCTTTGGACAGTGCTGGCTTTTCAGCTTTGAAACGAAGATGAGCCCTGCTCCCTAGAGTTGGGAACAACTAGCACATATGTGTGAGGGGAACCTTTACCTTTACCTTTTAAAACAAAGGAATAAAACGAACTTTACAGTACAATTTACTGCCAAATTTTTTTTTAAAAATTCTAACAGCAACCACCAAAATATGAACTTTGAACAAACTATTTGAAAAACCATGCTAATTTTTGTGATTTGCAAGAAACATGCATTGCCTTCACTTTGTACAGAAGGGCTTTTTTTTTTTTTTTAAGAATGCTAAAGTGGGTATTGCTAATAATTTAAATGTAATTCCATACTGTTCATTGGGGTTTCTTTCTAATAATTGTGCCAGGATTGCAACTCTGTATATTTATTGTGGACTGATCATGAAATGTATCAGAACACTTTGAAATGATTGGTCTTTCTATAACTCTGTCAAGTCAGTTACCAAAGATGAGAGAAAGCTCTAAGAATAAGATTTCATGATTGAGGAAACACTGAATACAAATGTGCCCCATCCAGCGTGAGAGGCTGAATTTATAATGAATATCTCTCATTTATATGGCTTGACACTAGGAATTAATAATATCCATAAATGCAGCTGACAAGTTGATGGAAATTTTCAGAAGGTTCCCTTGCGAAAATCATCGTATGATTTTCAGGGGTTAACAAAATTTGTAGGAAACAAAAACATAATATAAATAAAGCATATGTGGCTGAAATACAATAATTGAACTAATTTTAATATCCTTCTTCTAAAATTTCAGAAGTATAATAAATAAAATATTAATGGAAATGGTAAAGTAAGATTCAAAAGATAATTACAAATCAAAACAAAAACAATGAAACAAGATTCATTGGCATAACTTTCTCTATGGCATGGGTGTCAAACTCACTAAGTCACGTTGCCGTCACATAACGTATTGCAATGTTTTTTCCCTTTGCGGAGCTGGAGTGGGAGTAGCCTGCATGTGACACATTCAGCCCATTGGCTGCCAGTTTGACACCCCTGCTCTATGGTGTTTCCAGAAAAGATCTATTTTCATACCAGGAAGTCAACAACCCTCACTTTGTAAATCCTTACTGTTCAATAGAGTACCTTTGTTATTTTGTTGCTAAGTTTCTATATCCATGTATGTAATGTGATATTTGATTGCAACTGAGGACTAAAATAAAACCTTAGGAAACAGTATTTTTAAAATGTTCAACATGCAAGTCATACTCAGGTTAAAGTATTCATACCCACTGTAGAAAAGAAGTCTTCACAGTCAGAATAACTGTGCCCTAAAAGGATTATGCAAATATGTATTAGTTTGATCCGATGTTATATTCAATAATTTTCTCTTTTTATGGTTAGGCAGTCTAAATGTGGCATCTTTTGTGTTCTTTCCAATGCCAGAAGCAAGCTGTTCTTTAGAAGATGATGCAGGAAGAATTTATCTAACAGTTTTCTTTCATTTTGGGGAAAAAAAACTGGGCAAGACCTCCCATTCTACTGCATGGGGGTGAAAGGGAAGGATCATACTCCAAAATAATTATTTTGGAAGTAGGTAAGTAAGAGAATAGTAAGATATATATATCTTACTATTACACACACATATATATTACACACATACACACACTTACTTTCTTCATCTCACAAGGGATCCCACAAATGTAAATACTCTGCAAATGTTCAGAACTTTTTTCCCATGAGTCTCTATAGTATAAATGGAAATATTTCAAGTCTTATAATAAATTGTTTCAGAATTTAAATTGAATCTGGATCTAGAGTTGTATAAGAAACTTTATGTACTCTGTATCAAACTGAATCTATAAATCAACAGAAGCTGACATAACTTCAGTATGGTAAAAGTTAAACATGATATCTTTCAAAGCCTGCTTACTTTCCATTTATTTGCAATTGCTTACAGATTTACAGAATAACAAACCATGAAAGTGGAAGGTGCAGACGTTCCTTTAGTCAATCTTATTAATACCTCCTTTAGAAGAAATAACAGGTTTTACATGTTTCCTGTAGCCAAATAGGAAACTTCTCATCCTTGGATTTCCTTCCCCCATCCACACCCCATTTGCAGAACTCTTATAGGACAGAAAAAATCTTAATATTCTTAAATATTATTACTATTTACAATTATTAATATGCTTAAGTCTTTTGCATACAATGCATATCTGAGATCTCCCCACACATTTTCAATCAGATCCAAGTCTGCAGGCAATGAAATAGAGACACAGGAAATATTTTAGGGGTGGAAAGATAAATAGGTTCAACTAAGCAACATCTTACTTAATCACTGAAGGAGTTAAAGCTGAAAAGAGGTTGGGTATTTACAAGATAATGATATAAAGTGTATGTCCAAATAAACCATGAAGTACTTACAGAAAATTAAAAAAAAGTAATCTACTATTTTTTGTTTTGTTCATCTGTAGGAGATGTATTAATTAATAGTGTCCAGTCAATACAGAATTCTAATATTTTCTTTAAATCTAGTCTGATCCCTGTGTTAATGAATATTTTACAGAAGTATTCATGTTTAAATCACCAGTTGACACTAATTTTTATTTAATGTCTTTAGTAATGATGTGCATCTCCCACTGAAAATCCATGGTGTTTAGCTTTTAGGAAAGTGTGGGTGTCTGACTGATGTTTGAAGTCCAGCTGGCCTACTTTCAGCATATGCTAGGGGGAAAAATTTCCTGCAAAGTCAACCATTCATTTGCTTATTTTTAAACCACTTTAAAGGATTGCTTAACCGTATTGACTACATTCTCCTAACTACTCAAAATTTCCGCTACCGGTTCTCCAGAACTGGTCAGAACCTGCTGAAACCCACCTCTGAATTCCAGTCTCATGACTAAAGAGAGAAGGACATAGTTGGCTACTTTCTGTCCCGTTATCAGCTTCATTCTTCCTAAAAGCATTTGGGGTTGAGTTGTCCAAAGTCTATGTTTTTTTTCTTCTTGAATTCTAAATTGTATAAAGAATATGCATGCATATAGAAGTCACATGACAATCAGCCACAAATACTGTATGAGAGAACTGATCAATCCAACAATGATGTCTAGGTAGAAAGAATTTAATAGTTTTTTTTTCTTCCTTTGTTTTACTAAGGATATGGAAACTGCTGATGTGAAGGCCTAGATGCTCTTCAGAATGTATGAATCCCAAATCCCACACCCAGAATCTATACATCAGCTGGAAAGAATCAAAGCCATTATCCTAGATTAAACTCAGAGCCTCCAGAACTACAGCAGTAAGATGGTACCCAAAGATGAACTGCTGATATAATTTCTGAGGCAGCAGCAGAAGAAGATCAAGCAGAGAAAGTGCTTTGGGAAAACAAGACCCTGTATGGGATATACTATCAATAGCTAAGGTGGCAGATATTAGGAAATCCTACCAGTGGCTGGAAAGGACTGGACTAAAAAGCGATCATAGCAGCATAGCAAGAGGCACGACATACCAAATCCTTAGTCTACCACACTAGACATGATCCAAGGTGCAGTCTATGCAGAGAGGCCTTAGTGACAATCCAATATGTGGTGGCAGAGTGTAAGATGCATACAGGAATAGCATACACTGAGTAGCACAGGCAGAACTAGAACTCAGTGTTTCCCAGCTTCTAGCCTGACACCTTAACCACTACACCAAACTGACTGTCATGATATATAAAGCTTTAAACTTCTCTATTGTTGAATATAAACATTGGTTTAATTTAAATGTGGTCCATACAGCAGTGACTTTCTCTTAGTATAATTTTGTGACTCAGTAACTGTATAGGTAATATGTATCAGCAGCAGGATTTACTACAGTATTACAACATCCTAGCTGAACCCTGTGGCAACCTAGGAAACCCCCGCCAAACCCCTCAAGTTGTCATTTATGAATTTTTGTTGGTACTGAATCAATTTAGTATGCAAACTTTCATGGCTGAAAAGAAAGAATTTCAAACTTTATACCAATAAAGGATTCCTATTTTGCCTAGAAAATGGAAAAGGATGTGACCATTAATACTAAAAACATAGATCTTGGGTTACAACAAAAATAATACTTTGCATTTATTAGATTCTATTATATACTATAAAAAGTTATCATACAGTAGATATGTAATGATATCAATGCTTCATTTAAACATTTGTTTTACAGTGCCCTACACTTGTTGCATTTTGGAGAGAGGTTACTATACGTATTAGCTATTCATAAATAGAGATTACAGAGGTAAGATTTGATCTTACTTGAAAATTTGGAGCAAATTTTTCTCTATAAAAATTACACAACAAAATAAAATGTACTTTTTTTCAAACCACAAAATATTTTTTTTACACATATGTAAACTTTTGGATCTCCATAATATAACAGAAAAGCCATTTTTTAAAAAAGGCATGAGTGGCATATCTAAATTCCAGATATAAAATTAGGTAGATTTTATATAAAACAAGGTGAGGGATCTTGAGAGAGATCTGTATGAATAACTTCCATGTAATCATTTATATTCTGCCATTTAAAGAAAATATGTCAATTATTGTTTTTTATAGGTATTCAGACTCCAAAACAGAAAGCTGAAATAAGTTTGTAGGACCAAAAAAGCCCACAGAAATATCTTTGACATCAACTGGCACACTGGCATCTCTACTAATTTTTCACATGGAATATTAAAATATGTAAGGAAAATAATAATAACAACAATAATAACAACAGTAAAATATTTACTACTTTCTGCTCAATGTATAAAGATATAAAGACACTGAAAATATATAGAGGGTAAAACTTATTTTATGAGCAACTTGGACACTTTATACGGTGTAATGCCTACTAATTAATATAAATTTGTGAAGATGATCATTAAAAGATCTGTTGAAAGATAATGTCTATTTTCAGAACAAGACCTAGACCAATTTCATTTATAAATGAGAAAAAGGTACAAGCAATAATTGAGATATAAATTCTCTGTACTTTATATCATCCAGTTGCATAGATAATTAAAGTTAGAAGTGCCTTTAGAAGAAAAGTTCCTAAGAAATTAATTTTTGAACCATATTATTAATTCCATGTTCAAATTGGCTGAAGCAGCTCCTCATGGACTTATTTACTTTATTTAGCAAGTCCTCATTCAGTATATTCTACAGCACCATTACTTTTATTGGCACTGCTTGTTTTTGCACTTACCTTGCCCAGTTCCTACGACAAAACTATCAATGCATGGTGTGACCAGGGTATTTGATGATCAACCAGCTTGTTGCAGGATCTGGATTTGAACATAGAGGGAGGGACTGACCTAAGGTCACCCAGCTGGCTTCTATGCCTAACGGGAACTAGTATCCGAGTCTCCCCATTCCTAGTCCAGCACCTTAATTATGGCATGAAATACACTCTCCTTTTAAATTGCTATTTATCATGATGTATAAAGTAAGCCAAAGACAAATAAGGCCTGGGAAAATAGATAAAGCTAAGTAATTTTGAACTTAAGATTTCTTATGAACTTGGAGGAAGGTTCCCTGGGAAGACAATGAAGCAATTAAATCAAGGTTCTTAGAATCTTGTAGTGGATTTTGGAAGCCAGGTGCTATGGCTGCTAGTGCTGCACCAATGGAAGCAGAACTACAAAAATGCTTTGAAAAATTCCTTATATCTGTAAACAGAATCAGGATTCAGTGTAATATAAATCATTCATGCTCATATGTTTTTGAAAAGGTCACAAATAATGCAGAACAGTTTTCATTTTTCATCGGATCTACTCATAAAGAGGTAATAAATACTAATAAAGGTTGAGGAACCAAATATTATATTTGGCTTATTATTTATCATATTATTAATAAGATGACTGGAGTTTTTACATGTATTATACTATAAAATGAAGCAAGAACATTTCTTGGTGAAAATGCCACATTTGCTTCTAAAATATTATGAGCAATATCTAGATTATATCTACTGTGTTTGGACTATTTGCTTTTGCCCAGACCAATGATACTAGTAACTGATTATTATTGTGCAATTATAATTTATTGGAATGTTTTGAGAATAAGCAGGGGCTTATTACGATTATGACTAGTTTTTAAATATAATGTTCATTTTGGGACCTCTTTCCTACTTTATTAATTTATTTATCAAACTTCTGAAGTCACCCAACTCCATAGGAATTCTGGGCAGTATACAAAAGGGTTCCCCAACCCATGGGCTGTGGCCCACTACCGGGCTGCAGCCTGTTTCAAATCAGGCTGCGTGAGCGATGGGCAAGTGTGCGTGCACCTAAAACTACCCTTGCACAAGCGGAAAATGCTTGAGTGAAGGGTGCTGGTGCACATGAGTGGAGCTCCGCATACGAACACAACCGCCCACCCCTCAAGTGCCCTCCACTCATGTGAGTGGAACTTTGCACGCGGGTGCAAGCATCTTATGCCCAAACTATATTCGCATGAGTGGAAGGCATGCCTGCCTGCTGTCGCACCAATGGAACTATGCGCACATGCATGCACATGGCATTGTATACCAACACGGGACTCCTGGTATACCATATTAAGTTAGAGACAGCATAACAAATAAAAAAACACCAAGTAAGAGCAATAAAATACACAGCCTAATACAAAGTGTTCTCTTAAGAGGCTCCCCATGTACTCTAGCCCCAGGATAGGAGAAGTAGATCAGATTTTTAGAACCCATTTATGCAAGATCAGGATCTCTAGGGGACGCCCTTCCCAAGGACAGGCACTACGACAGAGAAAATCCATTTCCTGATTCCCAATAGATGATACTGTTTAATTGAGAGGACTAATGTATGCCATCTGTGCCTGATCATAAAGGACAAGTTAAATGGTCCCTCAGTTTGCCAATTACCATGCTATGAAGAACTTTATAAATTATAACCAACACCCTGAGTTGCCCCTGGTAGCTAAAGGAGACTAATTACATGGGCATATCGTGGCTTGCCCATAACAGCCTACGCTGACTTATTCTATATCAGCCAAAAATGACATGGGCCTAATAGACAGGTGGTTGGATTAGCAGTCTGAAGGCCATTGTCCATTTCCTGAGGAATTATAAATTCTAACTTATTTCATATATACAATACAATACAATACAATACAATACAATACAATACAATACAATACTATACAATAATATAACTATTTACCTCCACTGTTTCTTAGCTATCATAGTAAATAATCACTTATACCTTTATTTTTTCATTTATTAGACAAAACAGATTATCACAAGAATGTACCTATACAGTACCAGGTTATTAATGAAATCTAATCCATTTATAGTCAATTATATTTGTTACAGAAAAATTATAACACAATTTAATTATTGTGAATTAAGCACCATTAGCTATATTTGTATCTAGTTCAGAATACTGTAAATGATATTAGTAAAACATTACAGACTATTATAGTCAGCAAATGGTGTAACATATGACTATTATGCAGAATAAGGAGGAAAATCAATTAAAAACTTTCAGAGATGAAATAAAAGTTTATGTTTAAAGTCCACTGGAATGATTCATGAGTAGACCGAAACACCTGAGAAACATGGGAAAACAATAAGAAAGAATCAACAGAGAAAAAGCAAAGTATTTAGTGGTTCTATAATTTAAAGTCTCCCTTGAATTATTAAATGAAGTAGTTTCCTATTTTGATCAGTTATTGGAAGTTAAATGACCAACAATTCTCCCCTTAGGCATATTTAAAAGCATTACATCTTATTGATAAAATAAGGTTCCTGTATGAACAAAACATTACAATGTTTTTGAAAATTTGGAGTCTCTGATAACTTGCACATACATTGTTCTTTCCATATGAATATTTTCTATGCATGGGTATAAAATTTCAATTTGCTACAGGTGCCAGTGTCCCTACAGTGGCCACTCTGATGACTTTGTACATTCCAAGCTTGTGGAGATTTGGCTGTCACCGCCAGTTGTCCCTATTTCACAATTGTCAGAAATTTGGGAATTTTAGAATTTTTATGAGAATAAAATAATGCAAACTTGCTTCTCATATCAAAATGTATTAGATAGCAAGGCCCATATTAGAAATTCAAATTATGTGCAACTTAATTAAAAATATCAATGCAGTAGCTACTGTCCCCAGCTTTTTCACACAATCAAAAAGCTTCAGATGAGCCTCAGATGGGGATATCCAAGGCCAGTTTCCTTGTATATCTCTGCGTGAGGTTCTTCTGAAGCTTTTTTGATTGTCTAAAAGAGCCATGAAAAAAAATGGTTACTTAGATACCACAGCAGTTCACTTGAGGACATCTGGGTAACCATACCATGCTGGGGAGAGCATCTTCACAAAGCTTTAGAATGTGAAAGTGAATAGCACAGACTTTTATTAGGTTCTAGTTGGAAGTGCATGTGATGTTTTCACTTAGATGGATTACGTGAAATAAAAACAACTAGGACAGCATGTTGATCCAATGCAAAGAAACAAATAAATACCACCTATAGAAATACTTTTTCACTCTTCTAAATTGTTTTCACCTCTGATTTTAACTACAAAATATCCCGAAAGAAATATTTTGTTATATTAGCACAGAGAAAGTTACATAAACTATTAAAAATACTTTGGATGGTTTTTTTTAAATTCTTGTCCCATTTTTTTTATTCTTCTCGCTTTGTGCTGAGCCGTATTTCCAATTATCCTACTATTCCTAAGGAAAGGTGGTCTATTTAATATTTGATTGTTCCTCCAAAAAGCACATAAAAACATTTTGTCAACTCCTCCTTTTTTTTTTTGCTTGACAGACACTTTGAATAGAATCATTATACTCTATTTTCCATCTTAGTGATGGAAGTACCATGATTCTGTTACTATTTCAGATAAGAGGCCAATAATATGTTTTCCCCCCTCCTTTGCTTGTCAGGTCCCCATAGGGATGCTGCCATTCTGGAGGGGAAAGCGGCAAGTTCTTGAAGGCAAATTCTTTGCATATTTTTGCTTTTGCTATAACACGGGGATCAGGGTGGCCAGTGCAATGGATGGGCTTCCTCCCAGCCAGTTCCAGCTGTTTCCAAGGTTGCAGCATCCTGAGAGTGAACTGCTATCAAGCTAATGTTTCAGAGTTCTCACAACACCTTTGCGGCATTGTATTGGCTATTGGTAGACTGGGGGATTGGGGTGGGGTTTGAAGAGACAAAAATAGCTTAAGGCTTTGTGCGGGAACTTCAAATTCCGCCTAATAACCTGCCTCAGCTATCTTCTCAGGAAAGCATGACTCTTGAAATGGTGGTAGTTCAAAAGGAAACTTTTACTGAGAGAAAGAGATTGCAGAGAAGTCAGGCAGAATCTGAAGTTCCCGTGCAAAGCCTTAAGCTATTATTCCCTCTTCAAACCCCACCCCAATCTCCCAGGCCACCTGTACAATGCCACAAAGGTGTTTTTATTTTTTATGATTTAATGACTATTCTGTATAAAACACATAAAGGGAATTAAATTCCAGTTTAGCAGACATAAACTTGGTCTTCATATACAACAGTGGGCTATGAATCAATCTTTGAAAGCAATTAACAAGTTCATAGCTCATTTAGTGTAAAAGCAACCAATATGATCATAAAATTTGGGACTTTATACTAATTTTTAGGGGAACACAATCTCAATCCCTAAGTATTTGGGAAAAACAGACAGAGTAGCTGACCAGAAGAATGTTAAGTAAACATTTATTTAACGTTAGGTGGTAATGCACAACACATTAATCAGTGGAAAAAGGAAGAAAGCATTAAAATCTGATTCAACATTTCATGCATAAATATAATCACAGCAGAAATCAACATATGTTTATATAAATGTAGGCTTCTTTACCACAACCTAAGTCATACAACAGCATACTCAACTTGCTTCAGACCAAGAGCTGTAGTTAGTTTTTTATGGCATTCCAGAGACTACAAATAAAATCAAAGTAAGAGTAAAGAATGAAAATTAATGATGTTAAATTCATCATGAAAATGAGAGGTGGGTTTCAGCAGGTTCTGACCAGTTCTGGAGAACCGGTAGTGGAAATTTTGAGTAGTTTGGAGAACTGGTAAATACCACCTCTGACTGGCTCCGCTCCCATCTATTCTCTGCCTCCCGAGTCCCAGCTGATCGGGAGGAAATGGAGATTCTGCAGTAACCTTCCCCTGGAATGGGGAAGGAATGGAGATTTTACAGTAGTCTTCCCCTGCCACCAAGCCATGCCATGCCCACCAAGCCATGCCACGCCCACCAAGCCACAGCCACAGAACTGGTAGTAAAAAAATTTGAAACCCACCACTGATGAAAATGAATAGTTAATAATATGATTCCCAATTTATTTATTTATTTTAATTTCTGTTATATGAAAATTTGAAATTTGGTAACAAATTTGTATAGGCCGAGGTATAATACCTAAAGGTGTTTTAAAGCAACTAAATTTGAAGAACTAATAATAGGACAATATTATCCTTGGTTTTCTCCATCAGACAAAGATATATGATGATAACTGGGCTGAGATGATAGACTACCAATTTTTCCAGATGCAATTTGATTGTTTGTTTACATTCTGCCTTTATTATTTTTTAAAACAACTCAAGGTAGTGAACCTATCCAAGACATCTTCCTCTTCCTATTTTTCCTACAACAACAACCCTGTGAAGTCAATTGGGCTGAAAGAAAATGACTGGCCCAAAGTCACCCAGCTGGTTTTCATGACTAAGGTAGGACTTGAACTGAACTCATGGTCTCACACTTTCTGGCCCAGTGCCTTAACCACTAGACCAAACTGGAAGCATTGATTCTTTCAGGCTAGGCAACAGGTCTTCCTCCTGTTCCGCAAGGTCATTCCCACCATCATATTCAACTCTTTATTCTATTGACTACTAAAATCGTTAGGGTTTGCCTATGCTTTGAAGACTGATATTTTGTAATTATCTTTCTGTCTATTTTCTATAGGAAGGACTTGCATCCACTTTCTGTTCCCCAATGTGAGGAGAAAACAGAATGGAGGCTTTCCATCATGTTGTATAACTTGCTTGATTTGTTCTTTGAACATTTATTTCATTTCTATAAAAGAAATACGTTCAGCAATTTATGAGATATACCAAGGACAAAAACATCCAAACTAAAATATTAGGCATCTGTTTCCTGGTGCTCCTAATGGACTTAGCATGGCTCATATCCATTTGTTTTGCTACAAGAGACCACAGTCTGTAGGAAGATTCAGGGTGACTCTGAATACTTTCCGCCTCCAACAATATGGCTTGGGATGTACTTGGTAATAACTGGTAAAACTGCATGGAAAGAAGCATGGAAGAACCTAGAAAAACTTGGATCCTAAGGGTACAGACAAAAAGATGAATTATGCACCTCAGATAAAACCTTCTGTGCTGTAGAAAGAATATAATCACTTATTATCACAATGGAAACACACTCCCACAGTTCCTCACTAAAGGGAAAACCCATTATTAACATAATAGCAATATATCAGAATACTAACAATCCCTCTTGGCAAGCATGCTACATTATTGTTCTAAATTTAAAATAATATTGTTTAGATGCCTGCACTGCTTATGATGAATTTATTATAGCTAGTAAGTAAAGAATATTTTCTTTTCATTTTCTTTGAAAAGATGAGTTAGTGTGTATTTCGCTGTCTAGTTTTGATATATTGTGCTTTTGATTGCTAAAAAATTTCCTCTAATAAGAAACTGATCCTTCTATTGTTTTATTACCATCCACTTCCAAAATATATCTTACATATATAAATAATAAAATCAGTCAGTTCAGTGCCAGTCATCAACCACATACTGTTTTGTAGCTCATTTAGTCAACTATTTTTAGAATAGCAAATATTAAATATGCCATAAAGCAAAATAGGTTGGAATAAAAGTTCAAAACTTTATGCCATCAGAAAATATATTGATATAAGATATTGTTCTGGGGCAATTACTGTGATGAAAATGTAAACTTAATGAACAACATTTAGTCATTGCTATTTGGTTATTCAATCAGGTGGAAGAAAAATCACTTTGAAATATTTTTTGAGGAATGTTTATGGAGATTCTCAGTCATCCAGATTATAGTTGTCTCAGAGGTATTTTTTCAAAAAGGCAACTGGACTGTTTTTCCTTGAGGAAGAAGAACAAAACGTTTTGCTTCTTATTCAAGAAGCTTCATCAGTCATGATGGGGCAGGAAGGAGGATGGAAGGATAGGTACTGACAGTTGAGACTGGATGGTGGAGAGATGGAAGGATGGGTTCTGACCAGATGGTGGTGGTGATGAATGGAAGGATTGTATTTCTTTGCAGACATCTGTTCTTGGGGGTTTGATGGCAAAGATAAGCCCTCAAGTGGCCTCAAGGGCTCTCAGGGAGAGTGCTAACAACCAGATGACTGCAAAGAAATACAATTCTTCCATCTGTCCACCCCCTCCTTGCACCATCCAGTCCATCGTAACTGATGAAGCTTCATGGATGAGAAAGGAAACATTTTATTTTTCTTCCTCAAGGAAAAAACAGTCCAGTCCAAAACATCTTTGAGACATTTTTTGAGGATAAAGAAAATTTCAATTATATTCTTATGAATGGGATTTGGAATTCTTGCTAACAAGGAAATAGCTCTGTTTGTGTCTAGCTGTACTATTTTCATTATACCATTTTATCTTTAAAGGTATTCTATGACTTTCTATATTACAAAGGAACTTCCAAGCAAAGACATCAAGAAAAAAAGTCTTCCATGAGATCTTCCTATATCAAGGCTGCAGAAATATGGTAGATGAGTTACAAGATAATTGTGACACCTTGTGATTCTGAATTCCCATGAAATAATTCTGAAAATATTCAGAAACATTTTGAAAATAAAATAAAAAAGAAACAAAACAAAACAAAACAGAATCACTTTCATAAAGGAAAAAAAATTGAGGGTTGAAAGGGAATTGGAATCCAGATTTCAAATATTGTACCGTATTTTTCAGAGTATAAGACAAACTCCCCCCTCCAAAGAGGCTGAAAATTTGGGTGTGTCTTATACTCCGAACCTTTTTTCCAGCCCTAACGAGGCACTAGAGAGTGAAGCGATCTTCCGCATGATGATCAGTTGTGCTTTAGAATTTTTTTTCCAGCCCTGACCAGGCGCTAGCGAGTGAAGCGATCTTCCACGCTTCGCCTGCTTTTCTCATTGCTTCTCTGTCTGACAATCAGCTGTGCTTTAGAAGCTGGTTTTTATCCCCAACCAGGGGATAAAAAGAGCACGCAACCAGCTAACTAATGTGCTGAAGCTGACCAGACTAAGGATGCTAGCCAGATGACTACCTGGTAGGCAGATTTTTTTCTCCTATTTTCCTCCCCAAAAACTAAGGTACATCTTATACTCAGGTGCGTCCTATACTCTGAAAAATACGGTAAATCTCATGTAGCCCAGTAAATAATCGGTGTACACAATGTTTTTTTTTATAGAGAGTATTTCCTTTATTCCATTCTATATATTTTATACTGTAGCTTCAGAGAGTTCGCAGTATCATTTCTAATCTGTTGTGACAATTATAATTCCAATTTTCTGTTGCAGCTGTTGAAGTTGCTTTTGATGCACACTAAGCTTCCAAAGAAGTTCTATCTCCAGCTGTAGGTTACTTTCTGATCGCTAAACTTTTGAGGGTTTCTTTTTTGTATAAATATTAAGAAGAAAACATCTTTTTAAGAAGGTATGTTTTTTTCCCCACCTTCTGTATGCCAATATATTTTTAGTACTACACTGAGCCTTAGAATGTTCATTTAACAATGTAGTGTAGATAACTATATCACAATACTTTCTTCCATTATTTACTATGTCTTTAATATCCTGGGTATAATCATGCTCTACTGATTAATAAAGCACTGATTTGACAGTGCTTTATGAAGTACTATTTGATGTAAGAGAATGAGGCCTGATTCAGTAGTAAAATAAGAATAACTAGGTGAATAACTGAATTTATGATAATTCCATTTAAAAATTCTCTTTCCTCTATAACACTTGAACTTTGATTTGCTTAAGTATCTCTTGCCTTTGTGTTGTTTAGCTTAATTTCATCATATAAAAAGCAGTTTAAAAAATTGCAATATCTATTCTTACAAAAATAATTTCACCTATTAATTTGGCACTAGGTAATTGGGATTTGTATATTATTAACTCCACTTGAAACATTATATATTTCTTGAAATGCTGTTATTATAATATATATATTTATTTTACATATACAAATGATACACAATTAACAAAACTCCCATTCATAGGCAAAACCTTATTTTTCTTATAGTACTCTATCTCATATATCTTCATTCTCTCTTTCCATATACATTCTAAGCTCATTTTTTTTCTTTTTAAACTTACACCCTTTCTCCTTGACTACTAAGTATATCATTCTGTCTTGAATAGTTTCTTCCCCTTCTATATTTGTATATTAAGAGTGAGCTCAAATGATATAATTCTTTGAGAATAATCCAAACTCAGAAAACTTCACTGTACTTATACTTAACTGTATGCATTTTTATTTGTTAAATTTATTTATTGTTGAAAATTCTTTCCTTTCATGATGTATGGTGGAGCTAGACTGGAATATCATAAACTGACCAGGTCATGAACCATTCATCACAGTTCAATGTAAAATTTCTTTTAGAAGAAACTGCAGAAGAAAATATTCTGACATTTAAGAAAAAGAGAGAAAATTAAGAGTGAAAAAGAACATGAAAGTAATTCTGAAATATTGTTTACATGATATAAAAAGTTAGAAATATTTGCAACATCTAATTTTTCTGTAAGGCATATAGGTGAGCTGTAGACAGGGAGTGTTTTGAATTAAATAGTGGAAAGTTGCAATAAAGAGGTTGTGTCAACCCTGAAGTGAACCTGGCTGAGGCCATCTTGGAGGTTTCAGGGTTGCCACAAAGCAGAAGAAGGGACAGGGAGCGGGGAAATAGGTAGATGGGGCTTTGTAGCCAAAACAAAAAAGTTTTCCTGTGGGAACTAAGAACATTCTAACAGGTGGCTGGCCAGAGGAGAAGTGAAGTAACCAAGCAACCAGCCAGCACCTTGACAGCATGACCAGTGACTTGGGGAAAAGGGGGAGCTTTAATTTTTTTTAACTTTCAGAGTCGGCTTTCACCAGTTGTGCCAATATGATGTATCCAATAAATTGTTCTTTGAGGAATCTGCCTGCCTCAGAGTTCTGCTTTCTATGGGTGCATTACTTGGAAGGCTGACAGGTGGTTTTCAGAATTATCCTACTGATAATAAAATGGATGCTTTGCCTTATTATTCCTTTTATATGGATAGGTATTATATGCAGTTACTTATGAATGTACTAATTTTGTGTACATTCTATACTTTTAAAATATATTACTTGAAATATATATATATTATCTGCTGGTTAATAACATTATTTGAATTTGAACTGTACTATAAATGCATGAATGAATGAATGAAAAAGGAAGTGGCAGGTGTTTATGTACACTTCAGTCACAAAAGTAAATACAATTTGTTCCATTTGCACACTTACTTAGTGTAGTGAAAATACATGATGGCCAAATCTGAAATGGAGCTACTGGAAATAAGATGAGAAAAAAGTATTTCTCTCACCCTTGGCTATATAAGAATTCTCTTTTTTTAAGATTTTTTTTTGTATTTGAAAATTAAAGATTAAATGTGATAGGACATGAACTACAATTTTGTTCTTAATTTCAATTTGGCAACTGTGAACTCACCTTGAATTTTTTTTTCGGTGGAAAAGTTTATACTCAATTGTTATAGACCTAATAGCAAAACAGATCTCTGCAATCTTTAATGTAACACCTTCCTATTTATGGCATATGGATTGCTAAAACAAAGGCAACAAAACTTCTTATAGTGATGGATTAGGGTAAAGCAAATCAGATTGCTGATCCCTCCCACCCCCCATGAAAATGTAGTATTTTCTGTCCGTTAAACAAAATACATTAAAACAATAGGGACATAACTTCTTGATTTTCTTCTTTCATTGTTTGAGACGGCAATGCAAAAACAATTAGAATATACGCACTGAAAAATGGTTGAAATATAGAAATGTCAAAGAGAGAGACTGAGTGAAACATAAAGTGAGAAGTCCTCTAGATATGTGTATAATAAAAAGAGAATCAACTTGTTTACGTTCACCTTGATGGCTGTGAATCCTGGGGGAATGGGTGGGGGATGCTTACATTGATCTCCAAAATAATTTGAAAGAAAAGTGAGAAAGCTATAAGCAACCCAGAATGTGTGGTAACACCTAAGGCAACTTGTGAAAGGAATTTACACAAGTCTGCTCTTTTTCATCAACATTTCTTGTAGTAATTCTGAGAAAAACTTCATGCTGAGTGATGCACCACATTATACTTGGTACATTATTACAGAATTCATCACCTCAATGACCTGTCTTGTTCATCCAGCTGGATACACCTTTGACTAGAAACAACATTTCACTAAATAATATATTTTTCTAGGTACTACTTTAAGATGGATACCAATAGGCCTGAAGATAGTCTGTTTATTATAGATGGAACACTTATTATATACTATTATGGTATTTTTAGGAATAGAATAAAATTGAATAGAATCAAATAGAATATTAGAGGTTGAAGGGACCAGTCTCTTCTTAAATGCCTCCAGTGGTGTAGCACCTACAACTTCTGAAGGCAAGCTGTTCCACTGGTTGATTCTTCTTACTGTCAATTAGTTCTAGGTTGGATTTCTCTTTGATTAGTTTCCATCAGTTGTCTCTAGTCTTGCCTTCTGGTGCTTTGGAAAAGAGGTAGCCCTTCAGATATTGGAACACTGCTGTCATGTCTCCCATGGTTCTTCTTTTCACTAGACTATCTGTATCTAATTCCTGCAAGTATTCAGCATATGTTTTAGTCTTCAGTCCCTAATTATCTTTGTTGCTGTTCTCTGTACTTTTTCCAGAATCTCAACATCTTTTTTATAATGTGTAAACCGGATGCAGTAGTCCAAATGTGGTCTTACTAAGACTTTGTAAAGTGGTACTAGTACTTCACGTGATCTTGATTCTATACCTCTGTTAATGCAGCCTAGAATTGCATTGGCTTTTGCTGCCACACACTATTGGCTCACATTTAAATGATTGTTCCAAGATTTCTCTCGGTTACTGCTGTTGAGCCGGGTTTCACTTAATCTGTACCTGTACTTTTGGGTTTTCTTGCCTATGCGTAAAACTACTTTTTTCTATATTGAATTTCATTTTGTTGGAGCGGGCCCAGTGTTCAGGTCTGTTGAGATCCTTCTGGATTTTGAGCCTATCATCTGAGATATTGTCTATTCCTATCAGCTTAGTGATGAGCAGGGGACAGAATGTATCTGCCCTCAAGTGTGGAAGGGATTGCCACTCTCGAATTGGCCTTTTTAGTCACACTAGATGCTGTTTTAAGACGTCTTTCCAGAGCATGATACCATAGTCTCTTGAGACTGAAGGATGCCAATGATCAGCTTAGTGTCATCTGCAAATTTGATGAATTCCCCTTCTATTCCTATTTCATTTATTTATATATAGAATAGAATATTTATTTATAGAATAGAATGTTAATTTATTGTGATCGAGAGGCTAAACATTTTTATCAGTTCACACTAAATAAATTCCATAAATAAATAAATTTTCACAAATGATAGGCAGAACATTTTTACTACGTAAAGTAATCCAGTAGATAGAACGTGCCAAAAACCTCTAACATCATCATCATATCCCAGCAATATCACTAACTAGGTCTGAAAATCTTTAGTCTCATATTAAAATATTCTGAAAAACAACATTTTACAAATACCCGTAAAATAGGTCAGTGCATGTAATAGAAACTATATGCAGGTTAACAATAGAAATAGATAGAACATACGGAATCAGCAACTTTTTATATCCATATATATTTCTGTCATTGCTTTCATCATGCTGAAACATTGATTCAGACATTTCCTTTTATTTTTTAAAATGCTCTTTTTTGAAGATCTCATATCCAAACACAGATTTCTTCATCTCAACCTTTCATCTTTATTCACATGCTTTGTGACTAATTTTTTCTCTATACATGACCAAACAACCTGAATATATATTTTTCATATAGATTCATCTCTTCTTTCTGGATGTTCCCTCTTTCTGGATGTTCCCTCTTTATTACTCCAACAGCATTGAACCTGAAATAATTAACTCTTACTTTTATATAACATGCTTTTATGACCACTTTCTTGCAACAGACCACCTAAGCTTATTATCACTATACAAGCATTTGCATATCTTAAAATATCTCTATCCATTTTCCATCGGAAACATTCTACAAAGTTACACAAATCCATCTACTTATTCCAGGTTTTTTTGTATTTACATATAACTTTTCACTGTTTTCCCTGTCAAACACAATTACCTTGCTGTATGATATCTTGCTTTTCTGATCCATATATCTTGTTGCATCATAAAATCTGACATTTGCAATAAATCATTTAATATCTTAGTCTATAATATGGCATCATCTGCATTCCAAAGGATATGCCAGGTATTCCCAATCAATACTCAACTGAAAACATACGAAAAACATTTTATCAATATTATTCTAACTTGTATAAAGATTTAGAAAAAATAGTGAAAATCTAAATGAGAGAAATATGGATTAATTCTGTAAAGAGTATACCCTGAGCTAATGCTGGTTTCCTGCATTTAACACTAAAGAAACAAAATTTACCAAGAATTACAAGGGGAATTTTTGAGGCTGCAAGAAAAATTAAAGTAGGAAAAGTGCATGGACTAGATGGATTTTTTAAATCATGTTTTGACAATTTTTGCAACCTGTACAAAACACAACAAACTCTATCTTAGAGGGAGAGTTAGTGGCTGATATAGCACTAATACCTATAGGAGGATTAGAGGGACAAGATTTGACTTTAACAAGACTTTAATAAGAAATTTATTCATGAGGATCATTGTGGGTTTTTAGGGACAATAACATTACAAGAATAACATTACAAATGTGTTGGACATTTTGTAATATTTTGGACAGATAATGAAAAATAAGCCACACTGATTTTCTTAGATGCAGAGCAGGCCTTTGACAGTTTTTTTTAACAGATTCACATAGTTGGGAGGGACCTTGTAGGTCATCTAGTACAGCTCCCTGTCTAAACAGGAGACCCTGCATTATTTCTGACAAATGGCAGTCCAATCTCTTGTTGAAGGCCTCCACAACT